GAGAGAGAGAGAGAGAGAGAGAGAGAGAGAGAGAGAGAGAGAGAGAGAGAGAGAAAACGAGAAAATATGAAAGTGAATGAAGGTTGAAAAATCAAATGATAACCAATTGAAAACGCTTACTTAATACTCAAATTTTCATTTTTAATATGTTGTGAGAATGACATATATGCTATTTTTTCATGTGTGAATCTGATTGTTTTAAAATTATCTTCTCAAGTATTTATCCATTTCTTATGACTTTTTTTCATTAATTATGATTCCGAGAATAATATATATGAATAAATAAAGATCAAGGATTCTTGACAAAAATGAGTACAGAATATTGTTGTACTTTTTTGTTACAAAGTCATCAAAGAAGATGCAACTTTAAAGAAAGAAGGACCGGAAGAACGTAGAGATGGAGTATTCTACATTAACAGAAAAGAAGTGAAGGTAGAACCACTTGAAGAATTCAAAGTGGAAAGTTTTTCATCAGAAGTGTGATTGAGAATTTGTTGAAGAAGAATTATACACTTTGAATATATTGTAAATATAACATTTTAATGTGAATGGATGAAAAGAGAAAATAAGGACTGGAAATATGACTCATGCAGTAGGTAGAAAGGTTTGTGTTTGATAAAGGAAGCATTGATAGGATCAGTTGTGGAAAAGGAATGAAAGACCATCTTTCACTTGCCTTGCCACTTGCAAACAATTATACGAGTAAATACAAAATAGGGAATTTAATTTAATTTCGTGGAACCGTGAAAAGTGATCGATCGGATATATTTAAATATCGATACTATTTAAATAAAGTTGCGGTTTCATCAAACATAAACATACGCATAAAAATTGAACAGATCATGGTGACACAGGACACTTAAACGATAACGACGTTTTTCTGCCAATGATATTCAATGTGATATGTAGACGTAATTTACATTTCATGAAAAGAGCAATAAATCCATGAGAATTGTTTGATTCGTGTTGTTAACTCGTGTTAACAGAGCTCAAAATTTCATTTTAAGATTCCCAATCAAGAGGGCTGACTAAGACATATTTTAGTACGTTTCAATTTTAAACGGCTCTTACAGTTTGTGTATTTTCATGACGAAATATAAAATAAATATTTCGTTATGGAGTGTGTTGTATTCTCTGTTCAAGCGTTCCATTAGCCACCATGATCGGCCTCGTTTCCTCTTTTCTGGCATCGCCTCGCATTCGCGAGTAGGCACGTTAGGAGGTTGCTTTGCTTCCCGGCGTATTCTAAGAAAAGGTCCCGGAATGAGCCCAGAGCAGTAACTGGCTTTGTTCACACTCGCACGCGCGTTATGATTGGTTTTCAGCCACATTTAAATGGCGGCTTTTGTTAAATTATAAAGATAACTATTTGAAGAATTATTTTTATTATCAAAGTATTTATTGCTTGATTTTTAAATTAAAATGTTTACGCGATTTTAAATATTTGAATTAAATAGTTTTTACGATAATAGTATCATTGATAAAGTGAGTGGACTAATACGAACCCAGTTTTCTTGATGTTAATGATATAGATAATGACAGTTGTCGACCTTTTCCTTTATGAAATACAGTTGTACATTGTGCCGGAGAGAAAAAATGAAAAAAAATTCTACATCAGGTATACATTCCCCAGAAAGTATTTCAGAACTGAGTCAATTACAATTCAGACCCATTCCCAAACCCATACATTTCTTAAAGGCAAATGGTACCATTTTAGAATGTTAATTTCTTCTTGAAATGATGTTACCATGTTTTTTATGGAATATTCCTTTAGAATATGTTGCGATCAGTATATGACGATTGTTTTGAATGAACTGAATAAAAATGGAACTATGGGGGAACATAGCTCTCATGGCCCTTGGCTCCGATACCCTTTTGTGGTCTGTTTGCCCAATGGACATTTTTTCACGAGACACCTCTGGTATGTCCTATCTATGCTTCAAGAAAACTCTCCTGTTTGTTTTTTGAAGTGAAACTTTTTTTTCGCTGTAAATTAACTGTACACACTGAATTACTGAGCGTAACGAAAAGTGCATCGCTTATGTCCTGGTTATACTGCATGGTGAAGGCCAAAAACAATTCACCTTTTGTATTTACCTTATCTTCACGAGTCTTAAGTAGTGGCTAAAATAGTTTCCGCGTCCGCCGCCTGCACCGCGAAGCGCCACCGCCACTGAGTTTATTTCATCTATCTTTCTATCATCGATAGCGAATAATGCCGAAAACATTAACTAAGCACTAAAGGTATAGTCGTGAAAATATTTGTGCACAATTCCTTACCTTACAAAAATAATATTTTATTCTACAAATATCCTATTTCTGAACCTTTGAAGTTTTACTTAAATCGCGAGGCAGAAACACAATCTTTTGTTTTCAAACTAAGGGCGAACGTTTTTGTTTTGCTCAGAATTTGAGTTGAATATGTTGTAACAAATTATCAGAATTATCAATTACAGGGTAATAATTAACATGGATTATTTTCAATCATTACAATATATATGAATGAGTGAAAACCAGAAATATGTAAGTAACATTTTATAAATTTTGAGAAATCTGTTTATTTAAGTCAATATCACTGTAAAGTCGCGGTGATTTGTTTCATCATTACAACCATGGCTTTTTAATTGTTCTTTAAAAAACCGAAAATATATTGCCACTGAAATATAGCCTAAAATAAACACGTTTTTTCTCAGAATTGATAAAATGTCATTTGTACCGTTCTGGTTTTCACTCACTCATATCAGTTGATTTACTTTTGCATCTCACATTTATTTGAGCAAATTTAAACTATTTTTTCTTAAAAACTGTATTACCTTGCCTATTTGTTATAATAATAATAATAATAATAATAATAATAATAATGCCTTTCGAGAAAAGATGTCATTTTAGAAATGAAGTTTGTAATTCTTAAAATCCCTCCGTATCAGCAAAACTAAAAGAAAGGCAATTATCTTATTTCGTGCGGAGAATCACGGCTACCCAGCTGCGGTATAACGATTTCATTTTGAATAAGAAACATATGAACATTCATTTGTGTGCAGTTTCTGTATCCAGGTGAAAACAACAGTGTTTAAAGCGGTCTTTAAAAGAGGACACATAAACCGACAATATTTTCAATTACTAAGAAATTTAAAAAAAAGGCCTGCCATTCTGAGAGTTCCTCTGTGACTGAGACAAGTTTATCAAGGCCAAATGCTTAATGTGAAAGAAATAATCCGTTCTTTGTTAAATAAATTTGACAGCAAACGAACATTGTTTATTGCATTACATCCACTGAATGAAATTCGATATCATATTTATTGTATAATTTTCTTAATAACTAGCTCTAAGAGCGAGATATGGATAGTTGAAAATAAATTATTTAATTGTGCGTTATATTACACATACTTAAAATGCCATCTTTTTGCCGTATTTTTATTACAATTGTAAATGACAACAAATTGAAACTATATGTCCACAACTTTGAACCGAAAATTGAATGAACTGTTTAACGGCTAGTAGTAAAAAAATAATAACAAGGACTCATACATACGTACTCTTTGGCGTATGTGTTCTAGCCCGTTTGTTTACTAGTAAATAAAAAGAAATAATTAGAGTGGATGGTAACATTTTTCAAACTACTGAACTTTAATTTTATAATTGACTTGTGTCAATAGTAAGGATGGAAAATAAAGGTTCAGCCTTTCTATCTTATTTACATTGCATGTTTTTAAAAAGTTTCTCACAAAATAAGGTTTTTCCATAAGCTTGAACAAACGTTACAATTTAATTTTTCATTTGAATAACTCAAGTTCTGAGATATTTATTTCGAAATTTTTTTGTTATGTGTTTCTGAAAATTTACTCAAGTTCTGTTTATAAAATTAAATATAACCAATTTATTAATACACTTGAAATATGAATTTGCGAGCTAGAATGAACATTCAGTAATTAAAGATGGTGAGGGAAAACAGCTGTTTTAACTAAAATTTTCAGCACACTTCTTTTCATTTTATTATTATAGATAACGATTTATCTTCTGGGTTTGAAAATTAGAGTTCACCAATGAAAATATCAATTACAGCTAGAAATAACAGACATATTGAATACATTATATTCAATTTTTTTATATTTAGAGGGCCTTTCTGAGGAATATCATCATTTTTAAGAATATCGCCCGTAATCTGTGCAAGAAAAGAAAGTGTACTGATTTCTTGCAAGTATTTCTTTTAAGTATTCATTTTATTATGATAGTGGAAAGAGGTTGGGGAAACACGATGGTACCCCAAATGTCACGAACTTCATGTTGCAGATTCAAAATATTGATCTCATAAATTCCCAAAAAAGATACACGATCCAAATGCAGTTCATAGAACTACAATACGAATTTAGAATATGAGTAGTTCATAAATAAACTGAATATATCTAGATTAACACAATATTATTTCCCACTGACTTACAAAAAGGATAAGTTATACTAAATTGTTTCAACCACTTTTCTTTACAATTTTTTTATGAAGAGTGTCGTATCTATTTATAAATTTAACTTTTAAGCAGAATAAAAGTGTCATATAGCTTATTAAATTATTATATACCACACATAATTTCAATCGCTTTTAATATTATGTTTATAATATTATAGTTAAATACATATTAAATTATTGTTGTATTCTAGTTTATATTATTATTATTATTATTATTATTATTTCTATTGTGAAATTCTTTATTTTTTTCCCTGATGCTTTGAGTATACTTAGTAAACATCGTACCACTGATGTGCCTTTAAGTGAAAGAATTTGAATTTACCTAACTTGCACGTTAAAGAACTTCCCTCTTCCATATAAGGTAAAAATTATTTCTTTTCTTTTATGTTACCAGATTGTCTATTAATTGAATCAACATTAAAATAAGAAATTTTAGAATGTTTAAACAAGTTTTTTTTCAAATCTCAAGTAAAATACAGCAACATTTTACAACTTTTGAGAGTGGTTATTTACGCATATCGGTAACATATTAAAAAAACCCAGCAACTCGGCATGTACACGAGTAGGTCGCCGTACGCGAAAACACGGGAGAGGAATGAGTGTGGCGAACGCGCGGAGGGCGCTAGTCGGGAGGGGTCTGCAGTACGAGTAGTCGAAGGGCGCTGCGCCGCCATGACGGTGCTGTACTGGCGCGCGCCCGCCGCGCCATCCGCAAATAGCCCCAGCACCCGACACCGTCGCCAAATTTGGTTGAGAGCGAGGCCCAGCGGGCGCGCCACGCCCGCGCTGCCGCCACCGCCACCATTGCCTTCGCCCGCCATTCGGACGACGACGACGGCGCGCCTCAGCCTCCGCGATAAGTAACAGATGACAACCGCCCTCCCCCGCGCTTTTGTCACTCCAACTATTAATATGCACGCGCGAGGACGGTACATCGATGACAGTTATTGGAGCACATTGCTTGGGTCGATTGATGCGTTTTGGCTCCAGATTCTAGGAAGACTGTAAACTTTTTTTTTATTTCCGTACACTGGGGCCTTATATTGAATCGACGCTGGGTATTCCGGGCTTTTTAGTTTAAGCTGAATGGGGGCGATATTTTTGAGACAGTTGCCTTGTAGATACGGTTTGAAACAATTGTGGGGATTCCTTTCACTGCCCTCAGTGACGTCGTTTGGTGCGTGATGCGGCTGTACGCAAACGCACGCCATTGCCGCACGTCCTCCTTCTGGAATGTAGCGTTTGCAAGCTGAGTTACGAGACGCGTCATCCACACTGCGGATGTAGAAGGGGCGTGGCAGAGTATTTCCGCGTGGTTATGGCAGCTTTTGACGTGGCTAGCCGAGAGCCTGATCTCTGTGATTTTTGTCGACAGGCAATAATTTCTGAAATCGTTTGTCATTAATCACAAAATTTATGATGATTATAGTCTCACGTTGACTAAAAGGGTCAAATAAATTTTCTGTAAAACGTACGTTTTTTGTTTTAAATATTTTGGCATATGTATTAAAATTATTTAGGAGTTGTGTATTAAAAACTAGATATGAAAAAATTTCATATATTAAAATGAATTACAACTTTTTTGATTAATTTCCGGTATACTGGCGATTACAAGTAAACAATAACAGATAAATGAAAATTTGTAATGTATTAAATTTGTCGTGTATCTTTTATAAATTTGCCAGTAGAGTTTCTGAAGTAGTTTGACTTATTAATAAGTTATAAAGTAACTACACTTATAATTATTATCTTTATGATTACAATGGAAACGAGAAAAAAAGGAAAAATATTGTTGAGAGACTAAATACATTTTCCACAAGAATATAATCCCGACCTGAATTTTTGTTTTATATTGTTTCTGTAGTAATAATATGAACTATTTATAATAATATATTTTAATTGAGAATTATATCAATTGATTAAATCCACAAATAATTTATTACATCAGTTTTTAGAAATATGATTTAAGTAGTTCTAGAAGCAAAATATTTCTGCGACTTGTTATGGGGAGTCTAACATTACAGTCATAACATTCATCTAAAACAATTTTATATTTATTTTTTATTGAAAGTTGTAATGTATAGTATATCTGAAATGTTCAAATATTCGAGTCTTTCTATATACCCCTGCAAAAATACTCCAGTGATGAGGATAACACATGCCTGTCGTGCTGGCTGCATTACAAGATCGCAAGGGGCAAGAATTTACAATCCTTATAAAAATAATGTGTGTGAACACGTGATTTAATTTGATAAAATTGATTCATTTGAAACGAATCCGTTTGCAATTTGTTATATACTGCTGTTTAACTAGAGAACTCGGATCCTGTAATACTTTTAAAACTTTACGAAACTCTGGCAGCTAGGAAAGTGATTAGATTTTAAAGGCAAAATAATGAAATATTTTGTTTCTTGTAATATTGGACAAGTATTATGAACCAGTATTTAAGAAATTACATTTATTGTGGTAAACTAAGCTAATTGTGATGAATATTAATAAGAATAAGAACGGACAAATCTCTGCAAACTTAATTTAGACAATTAATATTGCGAATTCGCATTCTAATACAAGCATTAACAAGCCCGTCTGGTGAGTTGGATTCTCAAGCGTTTATACGTGTGAATTTAGACAATATCAGGTGGAATGGTTACTTTTGTCGGTCTTCGGTTAACATTCATCAGATCGAGAAAGAGGAAAACTTCTCGTTCTCTCGTTCATCTCGGCGTCGCACCCGTTCCAAGCCTTCGCCCCACCGACCAGTGGCAGGCAGAGAAAGAGATGGAGGCGGCTGAGGAGAAGATATCGTGAGAAAGAAAATAATTCCAAATATTGGAGATTGGTGAGTGGATGAGAAGCTCGGGACCGATCATGTGTCCTGTATTCTTCTCTCCATTCCCATAGCGGACGTGGGCGTAGGGTGATGGGAGGTGGCAGAGAGACAACGTGGGACGGGGGCGGAGGGATGTAGGCGAGGGGAGGGGCAAGGGACAGTGAGAGAAGATGGAGGCAGAGGTGGGTGGTGGAGACGGGGGCGGAGGTGGAGGCAGGGAGACAGACGCGGGGGTGGGAGCGGGAGCGGAGGGGATCAGGGGCGGAGGCAGGGGCAGGGTCGGCGGGCAAGGGGCAGAGTGTGCGCGGCGGGAGGTGGAGAAGTCGGGGCGGAGAGGGGCAAGGCGGAAAGCGGGGGCGAGGCTAAGCGATGGGTCGGGCGTCACAATGCCGGCGCGCACGTCTATTTCGTGGACGAGTGCCCGCTGCCCTTCTCGCGACTTGTTTGCAACATCAGCCCAAGGGCGCCGACGTCATCGCATGCCATTAGACCGAGGTGCTATGTACAGGGCACCGAGGCCGCCACAAAACACGATCTAGACAACCGTTAAGAACTTAGGAACGAAAGAAATATTCAAAGGATCGCTGCAAACGTGACGCTTACTTTTCCTTAAACCTATTATTGGTAAAATGACCCGTGTGTAATTTTACTGAGCGTTTTGACATCGCGTATTCGTAAAATACTGAATTAAAGGAAATTTTCTGTTATCTTGAATGGTTAGGATCACTCTAAAAATTGGATTTACGAAGTTAACTATTCACTCTTAGCCTATGTCATTTATCCGCCCTCGTTCTAGTACGAATTCGGAACGAGTCTTCTGGGTTGGGCGCGGACCTGGACGCATGCCATCTTCCAATTGATGAACATCATGGCACGCGCGAACACCTAATTGCCCGGAACGCACCGGTCTTTTTTGTCGATCTTTTGCTCCCTGGCGTTTGGGAAACGCAGTCTGTAGAAAACAAACAACATCACTTCACTTCCTCCACACCTTAGACAACTTCTTTGATGCGCACACTTTTAAGAACTATCGAGCTGGACGAGGCGAAACGGAGGGCATAGTCGTCCACGACGAAAGTCTTCTTAACGCCGGTCTGCGTACCGAAGCTGAACGCCGAATCCTCGGTGGAAACGCTTCTGGTTGGACGCATCCTGGTCGGGGCGGCCCAAGCACCCAGCCACTTACCTGAGGGGTGTTGTGGACAGAGGCGGGGCCTAGGCAACCGCGTCAGTAGGTGTCCCGCTGCCTGGACTGTGGCCGAAGCAGGAGCCGACGCTCGTAAGAGGGGCTGCGCCGCCAATTGGCGTTGCGGAGGTCACGTGACAGCGCCGCCGACGCGCCCGCACCGATATAGCTCGACGAGGTACAGGCCCCAAAAATACCTTGAAAGACGAGCTTGGCGGGCGCGGCGGCGCCGCGGCGAACGCGCTGTCGCCCGAGAATGCGATCGCCGCTCGTATCGCCCCCGGCCCACGCCCACCCGCCCGCCCCCGCCCGCTCACTGGCCGACGCGCGAGGCGAGATAATCGGTCGCAGATGGGGGCTGAGAGGGAGCTCGCGGGCGCTGGAGCGCGCGCCGACCCCAAGGCCGCCGCGCGCGGATCGGATTCGCCACCGCTCGCCCCCGGAGCCAACTCAATTGAGTCATCGAGACCATAAGCGTTGTCATCGCCACACGGAATCTCGAAGGAGACGTAATGCAACACTTTCCAATTGCGAAGATATCGGTTTCTCATGTTTAAGATTTATTAAATATATTGTCTAAAGAGAAGAAGAAATGCTTACAAACTTCCAAAAACGTCGAAACTGTTTAAAGAAAAACAATTGACGGCTGTATATAACGTATGATTAGTCATAACATTTAATTGAGATTCTAGTGAAATTCTGAGAAAATAACGTGAACAGAAAATCGGTCCTTACTTATATCATGTGGGTCCATATGTTTTTCGACAATCACTTATTCTTCGTTGTCAGAATTTTAAATTGACATGTTAGTATGATACATTAAAATTACCTTTTAAAAGATATTTTGAACTTTCTCTGAATACGACGTTTCGAAGGTGACAATTTCATCCATATTCAGATTCATTAACAACGAATGAGGGCTTTCAACCATTTTATTACCTCAGTCTGGGTAATGATCATGTGTTATTCACACGATTTAAAATAAAATAATTTTTAAAAAAGGTAATTTTAATGTGTCATTGTAATATATCACTTTAAAATTCTAGATTAATAAAGAATACGTGTTTGCCTAACAACATATGGACATATAAGATAAATGTAACCTAATTATATAATGAGACTATGTATACCGCAGTAGTTCAAATGAAAAGAAAACTGTACTACCCGCAAAGCAGGGCTATCCAAATTTGTCACTAACAAATACGAGTACAATACTTAACTAAAATTTGTCATGGCTAGGTTTTGCGCTTTCTAAATGTAAAGCAAATAATTTAAGTAAAAATATATGATGTAGCAATTTTGAAACATTTTGATTATGCCTAATCTATTTTTATGCGTTCTCTTGTGTACATTTCCTGCTTATTTTGTCATAGGAATAAAACACTAGATA